GTGTAGTTTAAAGGGCAACTGAAATTTTCTGTAAATGGCAATGACTCTTCAATATTAATAGAAGGTGTCAAACTGAAGTCCTAACCAAGGAACTTGCAATCCAGAGGGAATATATATTCTTCCCTCAAAATATGTCCTGCATTCTTCCACTAGGCATCGATGCATTTATACTTGCGCAATTTAACTTTTGCTTTTAACAAAATAAAAGATGACATTTGACTGCATAGGGAATCGTAACTGGAAACATAGCTAAATTATTATAGTGCATGCCTAAACAGGTGGGTAATATTAAAGTCTTAAGTGTTTCTGCTTTCAGTAACACAGCTCTTTGAAAAATGAAAACATTTAAGCAGTCAGACCACTTTTTATAAGATCTTGTTTTATTTTTAGAGTAGCATTTCTTGCTGTGTATTTCTCGCAGGCAGATATCATTTTTTTTTGTCCAGCAAGATGTTCTTCCCCTTACTTTAATCCAGTCATGAAGGTTGCTGGGTTATGGAACACTTACATGGACAGAACTCATTGGAGGGAAGGTTTGGTTCTCTCCGACGTACCCACCAGCCTGCGCCTTGTCTTCTACTGCAGCATCGGGTTGTAGCAGTCCCTTACATTAGGAAAAATTCTGTCTTGGCCTTCCCCTCTGCATTAATTTGAACATTTAAATTAGGCCAGGGCTTAAAGTAATTCGATCTACTAAGATTTTCAACAAAATATTTTAACTTTCCCAACTCTATTATTTTATTTACTCTTCAAAAATGCTGGAATCATATTAGAAAAAGATTTATCTGAATGGCAAGCAGAAAACATTACCCAGGCAGATAAGCCTATAAAGCATTAAAATTTATCTTAACACAAAATACAGGGCCTGGTTGTGGCGCACGCTGCCTATTTGTCTAACGGACATGTAACCGAGAAATGGTCCAAATGAGCTTAATAAATCTCTTTCTTAAACTCACAAAAGACCACATCCTCACTTCCATAATTCTATTAGAGTCTGCTCCTTTGGAGAAGATAAGAGAAGAGATAACCTCTCCGTTCAGCATATAAAATAGCAATTGTTCAGCTGATGATTGGAATATTTCCAGTAGAAGGACTTAATTATGGAACAAAATTAGCTCAATCTGACCTTTTTAGAGACTAATGCAAAAATAAGGGGGTTTTTTTGCAAATGTCTTCCTGGAATAACTAAAATAAGGAATAATTTACTTCACTTTTTTTTACAAGAGCGAAAGGTGGTAGCATATGATAGTGGCATTCTTGGTGAGATGGCAATCCAAGGATAATAATAAGACAGCATTTGCAGAAAGGGGGAATATATTTTAATAGACTAGCTGATACAGTTTTAAAAACAGACAAGCTTTCAGACACACAAGCCCTTTTCAGCAAGAGCAGGTTCACCTCTGTGACTCAAAATTGCTAGCTTAATAGCTAGATAGCGTAATGATGGCACCATCGAAATGTATGGTATCTATATTAATTACATTCTGAAAGCTCCTCTTGGGATAAAGATGAAACTTATTGTTGCAATCTCTGTTTTATCGAAGTGATAAATAGGAACATGTACTTGCACCCACAGACCTACAGTCTGGGTATGATGCTCCGTGCTAAAGCATTTCTCTACGGGTGTTTCGTTAGATGGGTTTATCTGTACTGAGGCGCTCCTAGCTAGGAAAAAAAAAAAAAACCAAACCAAACTGGAAAGAAAAACCCTATCTGTTTTATCAGTCCTATCTCTGATTTCGTGATATTTGGAATGCTTCTAAGCCATGCTGATACTACTGCACACAAGAGAAAAAGGCACGAGCAGGTGGCGATATTAACGGGCTTCTTATGGTTCTGAAAAACGAGATAGAAATGTTTCATGTCATGGAAGTCAACATCAATAATCATCCGTCTTGGGTAGATATGGAAGTCAGCCAGCGTGGCTCTTGCTGAGGCGGCGTGAGATATTTCTTTTGCATCGGAGCTGTTGCTCTGGACACAAGTCATAATTTGTCTAATATAGATGAATGAGGAGAATATTACTAATACTTCCTTTTTTTTTCTTTTTTTTTTTTTTTTTTTTAAATAAACTGAAAGCTCCCCCTTCTGGCACATTTCCTGAACTGAATGCAAAGTTCCTGACGTCTACTTTTAGCAACAGGAGATGTTTCCTCTTTTGCTCTCTCTTTAAAATCCTTTCCGCAAAGATTCTTTAACACCAGTATATTTATAGTTTCCCAAGGGTTTCCCGCTTCCCCATCAAGCTTCAGGGCTTGAGGTGAACTCATTTAACAGCAGGGAACTGCCCTAAAGCTTTACCTATAATTTTCATCTGTTGCTTTTCCAGGCAAAGACTTA